TATTATACATTTTTTACAATTTAAACACAAGCATTACATTCTCTTTATTGTTTATTTTATTCATTTGATTTTTTTCAATTCTAGATTAATGCAACCTAATTCACCACAAGTTCATATTGTTAGTGCAGCTAGTGCCGGTTTTGTTTCCTCTTCCATAACAAATCCAATTTGGTTTGTTAAAACACGTTTACAATTGGACTATAATTCCAAAGTTCAAATGACCGTCAGACAATGTATCGAACGTGTTTATACTCAGGGTGGTATTGCAGGCTTTTACAAAGGTATTACCGCCAGCTATTTTGGCATCTGTGAGACAATGATACATTTTGTTATCTATGAATTTATCAAATCGAAATTGGTAAGTTTATAATTTGTCTTCCTTTTTATATAATGAAAAATGTAAAATATAAAAATATTGTCTTTTACAGATTGAACAGCAAAATCTCCGCCAAAATAAACATCATTCGGATACTTCAAAGACCTCCAGAGATTTTCTTGAATTTATGATGGCTGGTGCCATATCAAAGACTGTTGCCTCATGTATTGCTTATCCACATGAAGTTGCGCGAACGCGTCTACGTGAAGAGGGTAGTAAATATAATAAATTTTGGCAAACATTACATACGGTATGGAAGGAAGAGGGTAGAGCTGGTTTATATAGGTATGTGAAATGTATACAAGTTAACTGGAAAATTGTTTAACTGGTTTAGCTAAATTTACACAAAATTATTTGATTATATGAAAGGCTCAGACTTAACTTAATATTTGAACTAATCGGAAATTCACGATTGGAACTAAAAAAGTAATTAATTTATGACTGTACAAATATTTACCATTTAACTTTTATAACTACAAGTGAACTGTAACGAACATGAAGTTCTAAGAAAGAAGCTTATTCAAAACTGAAGAGCCGCAATTTGAGTTAAAATTTCAGCTATTTACTCACTTACTTATTAAGTATATTAATACTATATTTCCATTCCTACTTTTCTTGCAGAGGCTTGGGTACACAACTTGTTCGACAAATACCAAATACTGCTATAATGATGGCAACCTATGAAGCTGTGGTTTACGTATTAACACGACGTTTTAATAATAAAAGTAATGAATTCTATGATTTTTAAAATAACTTATTTCCTTAACCTTTAGCTAGGCTTAACAAAGTTTTAAACCCTTTAAAACACACAAACTTGAAAAGTTTGTTGTTTTTGTATGGTAACTTATTTAGTTAACAAACAACAAAGAGGTAAAATCTAAAAAAATCCTCAAAAAAATAGTAAGAACACACTGTTTTTGAAACCAAAAGAAAGAAATCATATTTATACAAGTATCTGTAGTTTATGAGCGCTAAAATTGTAGTTTTAGTTGAACAAACAAACAAAATACAAACAACATAAAGTTGCTATGCAACTTTAAATTTTAACAATAATTATTAAAATTAAAAACTTAAAAAATACTGCTTTCTTAAAATAAAACAAAAAATCTGTATATGAAAACAAAAGCAAAAAAAAACATACCAACGAAATTATTATTGAACTAATTGAATAAACTAAAATTTTAGTTAAAAAAAGCACAAAACTTAATTCTTAAAAACTGGCTTTTTATAAAAAAAAATTAAAACTAAACTATAAACGTTTCCAAAACGCACGAATTAGTTTTTAAGTTTCTTTTAGAAATTTAATTATATTTCGAAGAAAGCTTTTTTTTGGTATTAATTATTATTTAATTTAGTAATTCATAAAACATTTGCGCTCTTTATTTTATAAAAAACTATAAAATTTCATTTTTTTATTATTATTGTTTAATAATTATAATTGAACATTTTGTGATCTTTATTAGATCTATAATTTTTTTTTAATTTTGTTTCTTTTTTATAGATCTAAAATATAAATGAAAAGAAAAAAATAACTTGTTATACTTACTGTTATACATACTTATAAAATACCAATTTGTCCTTATATACATGCATACGAAAAAAATGTAATGCTATTATAATATAATATAATGATTAATAATATTTAATAATAACAAAAGCAAAAATACATTTTTTATTTTAGTTTTTAGATTTTATGTTAAACCATTAAAATATGTTATATTATACTTAGTTTATAAACAAAAAAGAAAGAAAATACTTAGTTTTTCCTCAAATGCAAAACAACAAGAAGAAATTTAATCTAATTTTATTTATGTTATATGGTATTTTTTTAGTTAAAAAGAAAAATCAAATAAAAACCAACTTTATTGAAGTTCCTTTAAATAAATGACTTTTTATTTATATTACATAAATGGACAATTTCGTATCAAGTATCCCAAATCAAAAAACTATTGGATAATATGTCAGACACAGATAGATAGATAGATAGATAGATAGATAGATAGATAGATAGATAGATAGATAGATAGATAGATAGATAGATAGATAGATAGATAGATAGATAGATAGATAGATAGATAGATAGATAGATAGATAGATAGATAGATAGATAGATAGATAGATAGATAGATAGATAGATAGATAGATAGATAGATAGATAGATAGATAGATAGACAGACAGATAGATAGATAGATAGATAGATAGATAGATAGATAGATAGATAGATAGATAGATAGATAGATAGATAGATAGACAGACAGACAGATAGATAGATAGACAGACAGACAGACAGACAGACAGACAGATAGATAGATAGATAGACAGACAGACAGATAGATAGATAGATAGATAGATAGATAGATAGACAGACAGATAGATAGATAGATAGATAGATAGATAGATAGATAGATAGATAGATAGATAGATAGACAGATAGATAGATAGATAGATAGATAGATAGATAGATAGATAGATAGATAGATAGATAGATAGATAGATAGATAGATAGATAGATAGATAGATAGATAGATAGATAGATAGATATATAGATATATAGATAGATAGATAGATAGATAGATAGATAGATAGATAGATAGATTTTGAAATGCTTACAACCACAAGATTGTATTTCTAATTTAATACTCACACGAAAGCATATTTTTAAAGACCTGGCCGAGCGCTTTCCAAAAATTTAAAAATTCTTTAAATCGGATGGGAAACAAAAAAAATTAATTTGACCCCACCATAGCGCCGCTCTAGAGCATTTGTGGCGTACATTTTCAAAATTTACACTCGAATACTCTTTGGCTATGCCCATGTCCTATCGAACTATCCGTTTAGAAATGACATATTTATATCCGAAAAATTTCCATTCTGCCCTACTATACCGATCCGAAATAAGTGTCAAACACATTCGTGTACAATTTTATTTTAAATGTTGTAGAAATCTGAAAATCTTAAAATAGTTTCCTTAATAAACCCCCTCCCCAAAAAATAGTAAAATTAATGTTTACCTTAAAACAACAAAAACTTTATTATATTAATTTAAAAAAATCGTTTAAACCTCATCTACCAAACGAAAACGTTGATGTTGTTTTTCGGGAACAACATTAAAGAATTTCTTATGAATAGGTTGACCCTCACGGCCAGCATAATGACGCTGTATCCATGTATGATCCCAATTAGGATCTATAGGTTCGCAGGTGACATAAACCTTGCCATGTTCCATAGCAAACAGAGTACCATTACGGCCGAAACCAACCTAAATAAACAAAATACCCAAATTATCAGTTGTGCAATTAACTTCAAGCAAATCCCTCATGTATTTACATTTAAACCTGGATGAAATCTGGTGGTTAATTGTGTGGCCAATAGGGTTCCCTGTGATACATAATGACCATCTTGTACTCTCCATCCACGATGTTTTGGTCTGGGGTGTCCTTTTTTGTTGCGAGTACTACCACCGGTTTTCTTACTGGCATTACGTATTGTGGCTGTAAAAGTAAATTTATTTTATATGTGTTTTGTTTTTTCGCTGTTGTTTTCAATATAATCTTACTTAAGAGCGGTTGGTCTGCTTTTAAACATGTTAAAGATAACTTTTGCAAAATAGTAAATGACATTTTGTAACACTTTTATTCACAATTTTATAATAATTTACTATTAATTTCCTTACAATTTGTAAGGTTAAATAACAAATGTTGTTTTTTTCTCAACAGCTGTTTGAAAAAGTTTGAAATGCACTGCTAGTAATAGAGTTTCCAAGTACATTAGTTTTTAAGTATTACAACGCCGATTTAAAATGTAAGATTTTGTAAAATTTTGAATTCATTCGTAATTCAGCTCTGGGAGAAGGAAGATCGTCGTGCGTCATTGCCATTATCTCTTAAGGGTAATCGGGCGTCCTTTTTGCCCTGCCTTCGAAAGTTTTACGTTTCACTACCGCATTGGTTTAGAGTGTGGCGTCGGATAACGGTACCGCGTTACTGTTTTTCGAGTTCTACATATTAACCATATGCATTCGGATTTATAACCCAACTTTTACTTTGATACATGGTGGAGAACCATAAACAACTCATTGGATTTTGGTGGAGACCATAAAACTCATTAGCTAAGTCTAAGCGATCTGGCTTCCTATACAAAGGTATAGGTCGTTTCGGTATTTCTTGGATAAGGTTTCTTGGATTGTTACCCTGGCACTATGTTTGCTTTATGCGGCGCCATTTAAATTTTTAGATTCCCAAAAAAAAATTTTGAATTGAAATTTTTATAATTTTGTCAATTAAGCGCATATTTAAGAAAGTGAAGCCAATTATGTTTTTTTATTACAAACATATTATTTTTTCAATTATATGTTTATTTAAAAAACTGAAGTTTAATAACTGATGTTTAAAAACTTACTTAAAAAGGCAGGATCTGCTCATAAGGATTACACTAACGCAATTTGACTATCATTTCAAACATTGATTTATATATATTTTTTTAAGTTAATTTTTTGAAAAAACACAGGCCTTGAAAAAAGCCTTGAATTTTTAAGTAAAAACTAAAACTTAAAAAATAAGTTTTATTTTCTAAACAAAAAAAAAACTATTATTCTAAATATACTTTTAATTTTATAACGTTCTTATGTAAAGCTTCTTATAAAAAGTCATGATACGTTGTTTTGTATTTCATATGTCGATATGGTATGTATAAAGTTCTCAAAAAAAATAAGGATCAATTTCGATACTGTCGCTTCTAATAATAACTTTTCCAGATATAGTAAATTAATTTGATAATTTCGTCGAAGTATAACATAATCATTTTAACATTGAGTTGTTTGTGAACTGACTGATTCATCATCGTAGAGCCTATACGGTTTTAGCTAAAGAGCTGAAATTTAGACAAGAGGTTGGTCTCCCACCAAATAGATCCACTTAGAAGGGATTTTTCGAATTTTTCGAAATTCGAATGATTAGGGGGTTAAAAATGGTAAAAACGGGTAAATTCGGTAACCTCATATCTCCTAAACTATAAAAGATACAAAAACAGTTTAAAGCTTATCGTCGTTCATTTAAAAAATAAGCGGGCAGGTGTCTGGTACTTTTTTTCAAATTCGGCCCCTTTGGGGAATTAACGGGTAGAAACTGTAATTTGGTACTTCTTTTGCACCCCATGTATCTTTTAAACCAGAGAACATTCAAAAATATTTTTGAATCCTTCATAACTTGACGAACAAATAAAAATATAAATTTAGTACTTTTTGGATATTCGGACGTTTAAGAGGTGAAAATTGTACCTATTTTTGGTACTTTTTTATAAAAAATTGTTTTTGGTTTATTAACTTATACATATGAATACATAATAACGGGCTCCCAATACGATGTTGCAACTGGTACTTTTTTGACTAAGAACTTAGAAACATGTAATTAAGCACTTGAGAATCTATAAAAGTGGACTTTTTGGTACTTTTTCGTTCTTCAAAAGGTACTTTTTGAGTTTTCTATTTTTCGTTCTTCGACTGGTACTTTTTGAATTTTTTATAATATTGAACCTAGAAACATGAATTTAGGAATGTACAGCCCGGATTAAGTAATAACATATAAAAGGGAACTTTTTGGTACTTTTTCGTTCTTCAAAAGGTATTTTTTGAATTTTCTATAATATTGAACATGGAGTAAGTGAGAACATATAAAACGGGACTTTTTGGTACTTTTTCGTTCTTCAACTTGTACGTTCTTGTACTTGTACATAAAACTAAGCAATCAGGGACTTGAGTGAATGAAAATTTAAACTGGAGTATTTCTGGTAATTTTTCGTTCTTTAACTGGTACTTTTTGAATTTTCTAAAATATTGAATATATAAACATAAAATTAAACACGCAGTATCCTAATTGAACGAAAATTTATCTCGCTTACGTCCATTTTGCTAAAAGGGCTCGATATCAATCGAAATCTCTATAGGCCATAGTTGACCCTGCCCCCTTCAATAATTGATTTTAACGTTTTCTACGTACTTAATAATACCATAATAAAACAATTTTTGTTGGAACGAAAATATGTAATGAAATCTTCTTCAGAAAATGACTTAAACGCACATAAATGGCTTTCAAATGTCGATGTCGACGAAATAAACATTTTTAGGAACCGAAACCCACATTTATGAAAAATAAATTTATGAGGATCGGTTCGCCAATATAACCCTCTTACAGAAAATCAGTTTATAGCTAATACATCATTCCAAAATTTATCATTATGATAGAATTATGGTAGAATTAAAAAAAAATACTTTAAATTATATATATTATTGATCCAATTCCACATTTAAGTCCCTAATCCGAAAATCACGGTGACGTTCTTATTAATCTAATGATCGGACCACTTCCAAAATTTGCTTTTTTACGACATATGATTTGCCTAATATAACTCTTACTTCTTACTTATTTTAATCATAAAATACCACTAAAATAGGAATAGTCTTCCTTTAGAGTTGCGAGTTTTCATACATTCTAATAATGTTTTCAAAGTGAAACTTTTGGAATATTTTTCAATCTCTTTGTGAGCCCTTTAAATGATGTTGTTCTGGAAGAACTTTAACATCCATGTAAACATTTTGGGTAATAAACTGGGGGACTAACATTGAGGGGAGCGGAACCTCCCATATGAATTAAATACAAAAATTCGTTTATCTGGGAAACTAATATAACTAAATTCTTCAAATTTTGCACGAACAACTTTAATATTCATCTGAACATTTTGGAGAAAAAAGGGCGGACTTTCATCTGGGGGGGCTTGGAGCTCCCATATGAATTAAATAGAAAAATTCGTATATCTGAGAGACTATTAGAGCTAGAATCTTCAAATTTTACTGAAGAACATTTAGAGAATAACGGGCGGACTTTCAATGGGGGGCTTGGCACTTCCCATATAAATACAAAATTTTGTATATCTGGAAACTATTAGATTATTCAAATTTTTCATAGATTAAATTAAAATCTTAATTAACGTTCGGAATAATTGGCGAAATTGCAATAATTTGCGTGGAATCTCCCATATGTAACAAATTGTATATCTGGAAAACCATTGTAGTTAGAATCATCAAAATTAGGATTCTTATTTATATTGCTTTTAGGGTAGCACAGCACACTGGGTATAGCTAGTAAATAAACAAATAAAATATCTTTGTTTTTACGTTATTGATCATTTTCTTAATGCAAAATTTTTTAGAAACTGATTTTCTGCAAGATGTTTTATATGGAAGATAGGGTTAAATATCGGCAGATCCTAGTAAAACTTGGAGAAAGGATTTGTTTTTAATTTTTAAGAATTTTTTATTCATCCATGCATAATTTCTCACGCAACTAAAAAAAAACTAAACGTAGTTGAAAACTTAGCCGGCTTACAGTCGATTTTAAGCCGCCGCCGACATATTTAGTGTCAGTCGCCGCCGCCGTTAATATTTGTCGGCGCAGGGCTCTGCTTTCAATTGTTTATTTATTTCACTAAATTTGTTAATTAGATAAAATGGATATTGCCACCGCAGAACAATCTTTACAAATAAAGGTGCCCACTCTTAAACTTAAAGAGAAAATACGTGAATACACTAAATCTCACCGGGAACAATTACGCGCCAATTCCTTGGACGCCTTACGAATTGGTATAGGAGAGATTAAAGCGCGCATTCAAGAATTGGAAAATTTGACTGAAAAGGATGTCACTGGCTTGGCTGGACGTATAAAACGGCGTAAACATGCCACCAATGAAGATATGTACAGATTATCGCATGCATTTCTGCAAGATGAGAAGAACATCGAAACGTTTAATAAAATACCGGGGGCGATACAAGTCTTGGTTAAGGAATTGACAGGTATTTAGATATATTATTTCGAATGTTTTTCATTTAATATATGTAATAAAACCATAGGCAAAGACTCCGAACGCCAACTAAGCGCAGCAGAGTGTTTGTGTAATCTGTCTTTGGGCCAGGCGCCCGTGTGTGAAAAAATCTCTTCACTGGCAGGCAGCTATCTTGTAACATATCTTCACACTACCGAAACCCAGTTGGTGCGTATGTGTCTTTGGACTTTGGCCAATATTTTAGCTACCGGCCATAAAGGTGCCTCAACCCTAATGCAAATGCAATTGCTGCCTCAGTTGTGGAAACTTTATACAGATGATGAGGTAGCCGATACACTGGCAGATTTTCGTGAAGATGCCGCCATATGCCTACAGTTAATAGCTTTAAGCTCTGAAGTATTGCTAAGACAAGAGGATCGCGATTATGTATTTGAAAATTTTATGGGAAAAAATCCCACTTGCTTAGCTGCAGAATATCATTTACAAATAATTTTTCATGTTTTCTTTTATATCCCAAAATCGGTGGCCAATTTTAACTCCTCCCAGTTAATGTATCTCATAAATTATTCGCTAAGTAACATTTGTAATACTAAAGAATTTAAAAGTGCTTCTCAGCACTTAAAGATTGTATACGCAATTCGTGTATTGGCTAATTTGTTAGCTTGTCATCCTAACAGCTATTCTTTGCTATTGCAACAATTATCATTAGTTTGGCATACAAATCTTGGATTCCTTTTGAATACTCTTTTTGGCTTTCAAAATGTTTATTTAACGCAAGAGCTGTTGTGGTTTTTAAAAAATATTTTGAATTTAGAGAATTCTTTAAACTTAGGCCAGAATAATTTTCTAGAGAAGTTAAATATTTGCAAAAGTAATATATTAGATCAAATGTCTACTGTAAATAGTGTTGCAACTGAATAGTTGATGCTAGGTTTTATAAATGTGGAATTTATTTATTATTGTTGAATTGAATAAAATGTATTTGGATTGTTAAATTTGAAATCAAAGGCCTTCTAGCCAAAGCTTGTGGCAAAGTACTTATTGGACTGTATATAGTCTAAACTTTCAACTGGGCATTTGTTAGCAAGAGGGACAAGACTTTACCGGACACCTGCTGGCTATGCATATAAGCTAAAAATGATTGAGCATTTAATAAGGTATTATTATAGATTATATGGTCTCAGGGGAAGCTGTTTATTTATCATATAACTTAGAAGTAATAAAAGATCTCGAAGAATTTCAACTACTGACTGCAAGATGTGCAATAGTATCAGACCTAAATGGTAACAAGTTAGAGTGCTAAATTCGGCTGAGCCGAATCTTAAATACCCTCCACCAGCTACTTTTATATTAAGACTTTTCTAATTGGTCAAATATTTGTAGAAATAAGTTATCTCATGTCTTAAATAGAAAAATCCCAAGATTTAAACAGCTTAAATCTATTACAATTCCAAGATTTATTGAACATTACAAACGCAATTTTCTTTATATTTTTATAGCGCTTAGCGATATTTAGTAATTTGCATGTATGCATGTGTGTGAAAAATTAAAGGATTTTCAAAATACATACATATATATAATGTACACAAATTGATAATGCAACTAGTTAAATACGGTTAAAGTGCTTTCAGGGGCAGGACCTAGATATGACCAATTATAGTCCGATCGTAAAAAAATCTTTAAGCTAAATTTCTGTACATAAAAGCTATATTTCAGTAAAATTTTATATCTATATCGTAATTTAGTAATAAGTAATGTGTGTTTAAGTGATTTTCGGAAGGGAACCTTGTATAGGACCGACCGCACCCGTGTTATGAACCGATCGTGAAAAATCTTGAAATAGAATTTTTGTATACAAAACTAATATTTGTGACAAATTTTGTATCAATAGCTTTATTTGGTAATGAGTAATGTGCGTTTAAGAGATTTTCGTAAAAGGACCTTGTATGGGAGCTATGACGAATTATGTATATAAAGACAAAATTTCAAAATTCTGTATCTATATCATTATTTGGTAATGAATATTGTGCATTTAAGTGATTTTCTGGAGAGGACCTAGTATGAGAGCTATGACCAAATATGGACCGATCGTAAAACAATTTTATAGTGTAATTTATGTATATAAGAGCAATAATTTTGCTAAATGTATGGATATCAATATTTGGTAATGAATTATGTGCGTTTAAGTGATTTTCGGGAGGGAACCTTGTATGGGAGCTATGACCAAGCTTGGACTAATCGTGAAAAAATTTTGAAATAACATTTATGTGTACAAAAATAGTATTAATGCCAAATATTTTATGGGTATCACTATTTGGTAATGAGTTATGTGCCTTTAAGAGTTTTCTGAAAGGCACCTTGTATAGCAGCTATGATCAATTATGGACCGATAGGAAAACTATTTCACAGTAATATTTCTCTGTATATGAGAAATACTTCTGCCAAACTTTATATTTAGTAATGAGTTATGTGCGTTTAAGTGATTTTCGGGAGGGGACCTTGTATTGGAGCTATGACTAGTTATGGACCGATCGGAAAAAATGTCTCAGTAATATTTCTGTGCATATAAGCAATACTTTTTCCAAATTTTATATGGATATCTTAATTTAGTAGTGAGTTATGTGCGTTTAAGTGATTTTCGGGAGGGGACCTTGTATGGGAGCTATGACCAATTATGGACCGATCGGAAAAAAATTTCACAGTAATATTTCTGCGCATATGGGTAATTTTTATACCAAATTTTATATGGATATCTTAATTAAGTAATGATTTATGCGCGTTTAAGAGATTTTCGGGAGGGGACCTTGTATGGGAGCTATGACCAATTATGGACCGATCGGAAAAAACTTTCACAGTAATATTTCTATGCATATGGGCAATACTTATACCAAATTTTGTATGGATATCTTAATTTAGTAATGATTTATGCGTGTTTAAGTGATTTTTGGGAGGGGACCTTGTATGGGAGCTATGACCAATTTTGAACCGATCGGAAAAAATTTTCACAGTAATATGTCTATGCATATGGGCAATACTTATACCAAATTTTATATGGATATCTTAATTTAGTAATGAGTTATGCGCGTTTAAGTGATTTTCGGGAGGGGAACTTGTATGGGAGCTATGTCCAATTATGGACCGATCCAGAAAATTTTTCTCTGAAAGAATTCTATTGATATAAGATTTTAATTTGTAAAATTTTGTGAAGATATCGACATTGTGACGGAAGTTATTAACAAAAAAGCCATTTTCCGGGAATATGTACTTTTGTATGGGAGGTATATGAAATTGTGGACCGATTCTGGCAATTTTCTGCAGGGATCAAGATCTTGTATAGAAACGAATGTGTGGTGATTTTCATGGAATTATCTTGCATAGTTTTAGAGAAAATTACATTAGAATGTGTAAAAAATGCTTATTTTTTTTGAGGTTGTTTTAAATTTTGATTCATAACTTTTCCCGATGTAAACCGATTTTGCTCATTTTCAATACCAAACTGTACCGGATAATAATGAATATTTTGGGTGAATTTCGTTAAATTATATTGCTTCGTTTTAACGTGAGCGTGTTTTACACAGACAGACGGACGGACAGACGGACATAGCTAAATCGACTCAGAATTTCATAAGGACCCAGAATATATATACTTTGTTGGGTCTCAGATGAATATTTCTTGGTGTTACACACGGAATGACAAAGTTATATATACCCTCTATCACCACTGGTTGTGGTGGAGGGTATAAAAAGATATGCAACTATTTGTATCGCTTCATACGAAATACTCTATCTTGGTTAACTTAATCTAATTTTTTCATGTAAAAGACAATTCAAAATTTCTTACAAGATGATTCTTTTCCAAAGATATATCTTTCAATTCAAAAATATTAAAAAACAGATTTTTCCATTATTCCCTTGTTTATCTACACTATTAGCACTATTTCATTCTTAATCCCTCATTATTAAATAAAAGAACTTCCTCTTTTTAAACAACTTAATATTAATTTTAATAAAACTTAATTTTATTTTTTGTTTTTTTGTAAGATGGTTTTTTTATTAAAAAAACAAATACATTTTAGATGGTCGAATGTATTCACACAGCGAACGTATCAGAGGTTGACAAAGGAATCCTAAAATGAAACAAAAAGACAAATATTAAAAATCACCAAAAAAATCGAATAAAAATAACAAAAATGTTAAAAAATAAAAAACTCAGTTCAGTTATGGTAAAAACTAGAAATCACTCAGCAGAGGTCTGACGGACTAGTATAAATCGTCACTGTTTTTCTTCATTTTTACAAAAAAATAAATAGAAACATGATAATTACCTTAACTTAAGCGACCAACAAGCAGGCACCACCGGCCTTCTTGATTTTGTTTTCAGCCTTCTTGGAGAAGTATTTGGCCTTAACAATGACGGGCAAGTTGGGGAAGTGACCACGGCCCAACAATTTGTAGTAACCCTGTAATAATAAAAACAAAACAAACATTTAAAATCAATTTGCCCAAAACAATAAAAATATTTCAATAAAAATTATTATTTGTATAAATATAGAATCTGAAAGGCTTTCGCTACATGGGAAAAGCAATTTGTACGGTCGCATTCAGTCCGCCCGACGCCTTAGGGTATATCTTCATGTTCTATATTTACACTTTTAATAATCATATTCTTAAAATTTTTTCTAAAAATTTCAACTTACGAATTTAACCAAATCGATGACTGGAGCCTTGGGGGTCTTTTCCTTTTCCAATTCAGCGACCTTGTCGACACCGACCAAAGACCACAATTTATCCAAATTGATGGTGGGGCAGAATTTGTGTTGACGACGCAAGTGGAAGTTTCTCATACCAACTTTGCCGAAATAACCGGGATGGTATTTGTCAAAGTTGATGCGGTGGTGGTGCATACCACCAGCGTTACCGCGACCACCAGGGTGCTTACGGTGTTTGCCAATACGACCGTGACCATGACTTACATGACCGCGAAGCTTTCTGGTCTTCTTCCTCTTGATATTCGACTAGATTGGTGAAAAATATACAATTAGAAATCGAACGAAATTCTAATATATTTCATGTTCAGAAATACACAACACGTGGTTTGTATACACGAGTAGCCACAAGATACATTTTTTATTTTCCAATTCTTTTCACACACAAATTTTACACTCGTTTGTTGTTCATTGAGGTTAGGAACGACGTGTTAAAATTGAGATTTTAATCACTTATTCCCTCATTTTGGTAAAAAGTTATCAAAATTTATCACTGGTTTGATGTTTGCTCGGGGAAATTCACATACTTTATTTAAAACTATTCAGCTTTTTTCAGTTAATTTCATTTTTTATGTTAGTTGTGGCAACTCGCGTAAAGAACTACGTCCACTCACCATCTTGAATTTTTTAGAAAGAAAGAAGTCAGCGAAGTTGGTTGCACTTTCCACATGTCAGCGATATTTATGTGCTGTGTTTAGTAAGCACAGTGTTGTATTTGCTTGTTTTGGCCGTTTCTACATCGAATTTGTGAAATAAATGTTGTTAATTGAGTAAATTAATAAGTGTTAAACTTAGTGCCCAAACACGAAAACTTTATTTGAGAAACTCTTTCCCACTACAATATTGCAACTTTTTGGAATAAAATGTTTATTACTTCAATAGGGAAAAAAGTTCCAAAAGGGGGAAAACGGGAAATTTGATTTTATTCAAACTCATTGACATAATTTTAATAAAATTGGAGAAATTGGTAGATTTAGTAACATTAAGTGTGCTATTGGGGTGTTACTTGGAACTCCGGCCAAAGGAATCTTTTTGGTACTTTTTCGTTATTGAACTTAGAAATATGAAATTAAATATGTAGAGCCCGCGTTAAATGAGAACCTTTAAATGGGTACTTTTTGGTACGCTTTCGTTGTACAAAAGGTACTTTTTCATTATTTAATAATATTGAACCTAGAAATATGAAATTAATATGTACAGCCCAGATTAAGCGAAAAAAGGGTATAAAAGGGTACTTTTTGGTAATTTTGAAGATCTTGGTCCATAATTGACCCGATCCCACATTGAAGTCTCTATTCCGAACATCACGCTGACGTTCATATTAATCTAATGATCAAAGTCCTTATACATGTATGTATGTGTATGGCCACTTACCGCTAAAGTAGGAATAGTCTGCCTTTAGAGTTGCGAGTTTTCTCACACTCTAATAATGTTTTCAAATTTAAACTTTTGGAGTATTTTTCAACCTCTTTATGATCTTTTTAATTGATGTTGTTCTGGTTCTCATTATCCCTAACTAAATAAACTTTTAACACCGAATTGGGTGTTCTGCAAATCGAATTTTTATTTGAACATAGGTAGGTCGATAGGAGGATGCATATTACATCAAATCCGATGAAATACACCTAGGCCACTATCGGGCCTGTTGTGCGCTCCTTATCATGAAAAAAAAACTGAAAGAATTATTTTTCAGTGTTCAGAAACTCAGTTTCCTGAACGTAATTCCTAAGAATCTTCCAATCAGTGTTAGTCAGGAATGTTATTTCCGGAATAACATCACTTCCAAGATACTTGGATCTAACTTCGACGAATGCCTTGCAGTGGCAAAGAAAGTGCTCCAGAGTTTCACTGTCCTCTCCACATGCTCTACATTCGTCTGAATCCGCACGTCCAAGTGCTCGTAGTCCTGGTCCACTCAGAATACGTACCATCATACTAACTTCAGACTTGCTCATTTTGAGGAGATTTTTCGTCTTTCTCCCATCAGGGTCACCCCATAGGATCTTCGTGGTTCTACCCACTGTTTCATTATTCCAAGAGGCCTTATGGGATTCTCTCACCCATATTTTTAGTTCAGCTTTTGTTGCGTCAAATGATTTTGCGTTTGTCAGGTTAACTGCCTCGAGCTCCCTTAACTTTAAAGCTTCGCTTAAAAGCTTAAAGATTTAGTTCTATCGCCTGATATCGCCCTAATTGCCTTCTGGCTGTCGGTAAATGTATTAAGCGCTGTGGGCACCATATTTATTCTAATCCAATTTACGCATTCCGTTATTGCTCGTACTTCTGCCTGGAAGCTTGTGTTTTGATTTGGTAAACGGTAACGTAAAATTCAGAAAAATTTACATACATATTTTAAATATTATTATGTTACAATTGTATTAAAAACGTAATAAAATATTATTTAAATTATTAAAATAAAATTCATTAGATTTACTTTCGGCTAGATTTGTGTACTCGAGTTCGCTTATAAAAGAGAAATTTACTCGGATTCGGTTTACAGAACAGACAGGAATAATTTGGTATTTTCTTAGGATTTAAGGGAAACGTATATTTCATACAATAAATATTAAAAATAACATCCGTTTTATTAGATTTTTATACCCTCCACCACCATCAGTGATGATAGAGGGTATATATAACTTTGTCATTCCGTGTGTAACACCAAGAAATATTCATCTGAGACCCAACAAAGTATATATATTCTTGGACCTTATGAAATTCTGAGTCGATTTAGCTATGTCCGTCTGTCTGTCTGTATAAAACATTCTCACGTTAACACGAAGCTACAAAAATTAACGAAATTCACCCAAAATATTTATTATTGTCCTAGGCAGTTTGGTATTGAAAAATGAGCAAAATCGGTTCACACGGGGAAAAGTTATGAATCAAAATTTGAAACAACCTCGAAAAAAATAAGCATTTTTTACACATTCTGATGTAATTTTCTCGAAACCTATGCAAGATAATTCCATGTAAATCACCATACATTCATTTCTATACAAGAGCTTGACTCTTGCTGAAAATTGCCAGAATCGGTCCACAATTTCATATAAATCTCATACAAAAGTACATATTGCTCATATGTGAAGAAATATTACTGTGAAAGTTTTTTCTGATCGGTCCATAATTGGCCATTGCTCCCATACAAGGTCCCCTCCTGAAAATCACTTAAACGCACATAACTCATTACAAAATTAAGATATCCATATAAAATTTGGTACAATTATTGCTTAAATGCATAGAATTTTAGTGAGACATTTTTTTCGATCGGTCCATAACTGGTCATAGCTCCTATACAAGGTCCCCTCCCGAAAATCACTTAAACGCACATAACTCTTTACTAAATTAAGATATTCATATAAATTTTGGCACAAGTATTGTTCATATACAGAGAAATATTACTGTGTTTTCCTATCGGCCCATAATTGATCATAGCTCCCATACAAGATCCCTTTCAGAAAAACACTTAAAGGCACATAACTCGTTACCAAATAGTAATACCCATAAAAAATTTGGCATAAATACTATTTTTGTACACAGAAATGTTATTTGAACATTTTTTCATGATCGGTCCAACTTTGGTTGGACTTAAACGCACACAACTCATTACAAAATATTGATATCCATACATTTAGCAAAAATATTGCTCTTATATACATTAAACTATAAAATTGTTTTACGATCGGTCCATATTTGGTCATAGCTCTCATAAAAGGTCCCCTCCAGAAAATCACTTAAATGCACAATATTCATTACCAAATAATGATATAGATACACAATTTTGAAATTTTGTCTTTATATACATATTTGGTCATAGCTAACATACAAGGTCCTTTTACGAAAATCTCTTAAAAATACATTACTCATTACCAAATAAAGCTATTGATACAAAATTTGGCAATAATATTAGTTTTGTATACAAAAATTCTATTTCAAGATTTTTTCACAATCGGTTCATAACATGGGTGCAGTCGGTCCCATACAAGGTTCCCTTCAGAAAATCACTTAAACACACATTACTTATTACTAAATTACGATATAGATACCAATTTTTACGGAAATATAGCTTTTATGAACAGAAATTTAGCTTAAAGAATTTTTATAATCGGTCTATAATTGGTCATATCTCCCATACTAGGTCCTGTCCCTAAAGCGCTTTAACCGTATTTAACTAGTTGCATTATCAATTTGTGTAGAACAAAATTATATATATGTATGTATTTTGAAAATCCTTAAATCTTTCACACACATGCATACATGCAAATTACTAACTATCGCTAAGCGCTATAAAAATATAAAGAAAATGGCGTTTGTAATGTTCAATAAATCATGGAATTGTAACAGATTTAAGCTGTTTAAATCTTGGAATTTTTTCTAAGAAAACTTATTTCTACAAATATTTGATCAATTAGAAAAGTATTAATATAAAAGGGTATTTAAGATTCAGCTCAGCCGAATATAGCACTCTAACTCATAGTATAAAAAATATTAGAGGGTAGTTTCAATTTCTATTTATGTCAGCCTGATTAACCATCTGATTTGATGTAGTATACATCCTCCTATCGACCGACCGACCTACCTACCTACCTACCTATATGACCGAAATTCCAAAGTGTAATACATGTTTTGATTATGGTTATATAAGACTCGCTATAGCCGAATTTAATACACATTCTGTTAACTCGAAATAATGAAAAAGGATAATAAGAAAAGAAACACTAAGAGCGGGTTTTTGAGATGGTAATCAAATGCCAATTAATAATCAGATTAGTTAATCTAAAAATAAATTTAATCTTATGTTAATCCCCTTTGATGTTTTTGAGTACAAGATTAAACTTCGCAGTGTTGCCATACAAAACAACAGAAAACTTCACTGTTTGTTATCAAAACAATGCATATTTTATAAAAAAGAAGAAGACAATTGTAAATTTAATATGAAAATTAATGAAAACTCAAATTAAAAACAAAAAAATGTATTTTGAAGTGTCCATAATTTATACTAATCAATAAATAGAACATTTTAATGTTTATATTTATAAAAATTTTATTAATTTTTTTGCATCAGCTTTTTACACTTTTGCATTTCGTGCTTAAGATTAAACCACCTCCATTGGGCGCTTAAACTTGCAAACAAAATTAACTAATTGAGTACTCAAAAACATCTTTCGAGGATTAATTTTAATTTAATCGCTAATCTTTCACCTAAAGATTGGCCCTAAATAGTTTACCGTTCCTCTTGTTAGTACAAAAAATTTGTTATTATTAATAAACTACACATTTTTGTTTAAAAACTTCTCAAAATCATTTTCTAGATGTGGCAAAGCTCCTTTGAATATTTACAAATAAAATAAACTTCCAAAATCTCCATTCTAGTCAAACAAATAAAATTGAAACCACCTTCTATTTCTTAAATCATGCTCTAACTTGTTGTATTTAATATTTGTTAAAATTAGTAATTTTAACATCTTACTTATAAACCATTCTACATACATATGTATGTATGTAGTAGATTTCATTTGAAATCTTTCTTCAAATCTAGATTTCAAATTTTTTTCTAATATTTCTCCAAATTGTGTTTGATATGAAAAATTAGAAACAAAATAGATATTTAAATATTACATTGCCATTTATTTTAAATTAACTTTTCATTCATGTTTTCCAATTTATTAAAATTTTGTCGACATTTTGATTTTTCTTTGTTTGTTTTTCTCTTTTTTCTTGTGAAGCGTCGTATTTTTTAGGAAAAAACATAGTTGCATTTGTATTTTTACTAGATTTTGAGTAGATTTTGTCGAAATCTACTAATAAAGTAGATTTTGTTTTGTATGGGAAATCTAGTTGACTGACTGCTTAACGAATTTTAAAATATAATTGTTAGTTTTACTCTGAATGAATTTCAATGCAATTCAGGTGTTTTTCCAATAAGGTCCATAAAAAACTTAACAGCTGTTGTAAAGTTTGCTCTGTTCTTTTTTTCTTGTGGATTTAAACGGTGCAGCAGTAAATTAATGTAATCGTGACCTTGAGTTGGTCAAGAAACAACAAATTTTTATCTTGTTATTATAGAAAAGTGTGAAAATTTTAAGTTTTCATAGAATAATTGCATTGTAAAACATTCCTTCCAGTTACATCATTAATAGTTTTGTTATTTAAAAATTGTGTGATAAGAACAAAAGCTGATTTTTAACCTTGAACTGTTTATTTCTATTGCGGAAGTTTTATAAGAATTGTAATTAAAATATGGCACAAACTTATAAAAATGTAACCCATTGTATTTTTGACATGGATGGCTTATTATTAGGTAAGATTTTATTGTATAGGAATGATTATTTTATTCTTTTAGAGCTTCTAATCATCAAACGGTAAAATAGTTTCATGGACTACAGTGGTTCTTAATCATTTTAGAGTGGTCTTTTTATTAATATAAACTACAAAACAAGTTAGAAATGGGAGCAATGTTCAGCAATGATGACATTTGTTTGACATTTGACTTCTACTTGGTGCGATAAAAGGTCACAAAACTAGATTTTTTAACATTTAAAACAAAAATCCTAAAAGAAGGTTATAGTAAAAATTTTTATGATTGAGAACCACATAGTCCTTAACATCTACATTTGTACATAATTTACACAAAACGAATGCAGACACCGAAGCCCTATATACCAAGGCTACTCAACAAATCCTGGATAAATATGGCAAAACCTATACCTGGGAAGTTAAAATAACATTGATGGGTTTACGTCATATGGAAATGTGCCAACGGATTGTGGAAATCTATAATCTTCCCCTTACGCCTGAAGAATATTCGAAATTGCAGCGAGAAGTAAATTCACAAATAATGAAGAATGCTGAATTATTGCCAGGTAATTTTCCTAAGATCACATCCGAACTAATGCTTTTGTTTTTTGTGTTTTCGTTTCTTTTTTCTCTCTCTCTCTCTTTCTCTTCGTTTTCTTTTGTCTTCTCCTCTTGGCTCACAGATACTGAACCTGTGTACGAGGAAGTCATAAGGCAAATAGCACAAGAATATAATAAAACGTATCCCATAGAGGTGCGTCTTAAACTTTTGGGCACTACGGAACCACGCACTGCTGAAATTGCGGTTACCGATATGGGTTTACCCATCAGTCCGCAAGAGTTTTTGGAAAAATTCCATAAGTTATGCCGTACGCTATTAGCCAATTGTCCATTGAAGCCAGGTTAGAAAACAATTGGGTACCTATTCTTTTCTCTTTTTGAAGCTTTCATTTTGAATATGATTTTCAATAACCGTTTTAGTATTGTTGTAAGATTGCACGTTTTTTACATTTTTATATGTAATAGAACATTAGTTGTTATTAATTTGAATAAAATGGTTTAAAGATTCAACAACGCAAGTAGGATAAGTTTTTTTATGAAAATTAAGTAATTTTTGTAAAAAATAAAAACATGCTACATTTATGCCCTAAATTAATAAGTACTAATGCTCTATTATTAATCTTTCAATTGTAAATATATGTGTAGTGTTTATTTTTTATAAAGAATATTTAGGCAATTTAAATGTTTCACACATATTCATAATCAATTGTATAATTTATTAAAAATTTACACATATAGCACTAAGAATGCATTCTTTTTGTTGTCGAAAAATGAAAGTGATTTTAAAATAAAGCTATAGATGTGTGTGCATTTTTTTCCTTTATATAAATTTTATTCATTTGCTAATTGATTATGAATAAGGTTCTCCGTGTGCAATATTAATTACATAAATTTGAATTTAAAGAATATATTTAACAAATAAGTTATTGAGAGTTAAACTCTCTCATCATCGGACTCATCGTCGGACCTAGTAGTGTAGCTTATGGGTCTAGGAGAGTAGTTCACAACATCATATTTAAAATTTATGAAAATCAGAAGTTATCCCCAAAAAAAGGAATTTGGCTTGTCAACGGACTTGTACTGAGTCCGAATTTGAACTAAGAATCTAAAAACTAAATAAAGGTATCTTCGCGTTGTTCAACGCAGCTCAGTAATTTTAAAAAAGTATACTTTGCTCAGTGTTATTAACTTAAAATTATATACATACATATATATAATTTCCAGAAATTTTGTAGTAAATTTTCAATAGCTTTGACTTCAGCATGATGGTGACAATATTATTTTAGCAAAATCGAAAAAATTCAAAACTTTTTATGGTTAAATTTAGACTAAAATATATATTAAATAATTGGCAGTGATGGGTCGGAATCCGTAGTGCTCTTTCCTAAAAATTGTTGTGTTGTCTATGAGAACTATTTAGTAGTTTTTAATGTACATACATATATTAAACTTTTTAGAAAAAATTAAAAAAATGAGAGAATTTTAAATAAATTTATTGAAGAAAATTTGTATTCTGTATCCCTTTTCTGTATACTGATGTATAAAACAGGATAAATAAAAGCAATTCAAAATTTTTGATCTTAAATTTTAATGTTTATAACAAAGAATATAGTTTATAACCAATCCGAATAAATCTATTTAAAAGTAGATGTCTATATAGAAAAGAGGTACTAATTTCCCTTTATAAATGGATATATTTCGATACATAGTTACTATAAACATAATGGATCTTATTGTTTTCTAATTATTTTTCTTTTTATTTAATAAAAAATGTAGACTGCAGTATTAGATGTTAGTTTTAATTTCCTTTTTTATAATAGTTCAAATTTAAGCGAATTTATTTAATTAAATAGATTTTCAAATAAATATGTAACAATTAGCAATTATATACATTTATATCATCATAGTATTCTCTGGCTTAAAATAGAAAAACACAACAGTTTGATTGTGTGTTTTAATTTTTATTATTAAAAATGTAATAAATCATTACAATACCTCATATTAACAACATATAATTACTAAACATTTTCAGGAGCTGAACGACTTTTGCGTCATTTACATGCGCACAATATACCCTTCTGTTTGGCCACCAGTTCAGGAGAGGAAATGGTCGAAATAAAAATCACCAACCATCGTGAAGTGTTTAAACTATTCCATCATCGTGTTTGCGGTTCTACCGATGCTGAAGTAAAACAGGGTAAACCAGCTCCTGATATTTTCCTTATTGCTGCATCACGTTTTCCTGACAAACCAGATCCAGCCAAATGTTTGGTTTTCGAAGATGCACCAAATGGTGTTAAAGCTGCTCATAGTGCTGGCATGCAAGTGGTAATGGTACCCGATGAACGTGTACCCTTGGAAATGTCTGCTTTGGCTACTCAACGTTTGAAATCATTGGAGGATTTCCAACCGGAATTGTATGGTTTACCACCATTTGAAAAGTAAATGTTCAGAAAGATGTATTTTGAATATGAATGTGCGTTGCAATTAGTATTGGCTTTTTTATGATTATTTAAAACATATGTATGTACCTTTTTAGTAAAATTACAAATTTATTTGTAAACAAAACTGCAAGCTGAGCTTAACTTAAATTTAGGTTTAAAAAACCTAAATCACACTACTACCTTATAAGAATTTAAATAAATGTAAAATTTTTAAAAAGCAAATGTCTGTTGATTTCTATTTTTTGATTTTAAAGAGAAAAAATGCTGAACCGATAGTTTTTCAGTGTAGAAATTGACAAATTTAGTTTCAGCGGGAATTTTCCACCATCGGAATGTTTTGCATCTTTATTTTCGGAATTTCAATATTTTATTAATCAAATATTACTTTTTATACCCTCCACCACCATCAGTGGTGATAGAGGGTATATATAAGTTTGTCGTTCCGTGTGTAACACCAAGAAATATTCATCTAAGACCCAACAAAGTATATATATTCTATGTCCTCATGAAATTCTGAGTCGATTTAGCTATGTCCGTCTGTCCGTCTGTCTGTCTGTCTGTGTAAAACACGCTCACGTTAAAACTAAGCAAAGGAAATCAACCAAATTCATCCAAAGTATTTATTATTATCCTAAGCAGTTTGGTATTGAAAATCAGCAAAATCGGTTCACAACGTAAAAAGTTATGAATAAAAATTTCAGACTACCTCGAAAAAAATTCCGTTTTTTTCATAATTCTTTTGAAGTTTTCTCAGAAACTACCAAAGATATTTCGATGAATTTTGTCACACATTATTTTTTCATTGCAGTGATCAATTATGTTGAAAATCTTTACAATCGATCCAATATTTCCCATAGCCCCCATACAAAGGTATATATTCTCGGAAATTAGTTTATCGTTAATAACTCCCTCAAATATATTGGTATCAACACAAAATTTTGTACATGCAACTATAATAAGAATAGAAACCATACTGTCAACGCAGATCTCAGTCAGTCCACAATTGGCCATAGCTCCCATACAAGGTCCACTTCCGAAAATCACCTAAACGCACATATTTTAATAATGAATAAAGCTATTGTGATTAAATTCGAGTTAAATGTGTTTTGTGTACATACAAATCATTCTACCAAATTTTTTACGGATCGGTCCATTATTGGTCATAGCTCCCATATAAGGCCCACTTCCGAAAATCATTTAAAAGCTCATATTTCATTGTCATATAAAGCTATCTTGATGAAATTCGACACAAATATGTTTAGTCTAAATATAAAACACTCTACGAAATTTTTTCCGGATAGGTCCATAATTGGTCATAGCTCCCATATATAGTCCCCTTCCGAAAATCACTTAAACGCACATATTTCATTGAATTATAAAGCTATCGGGATAAAATTCGACACAAATCTGTTTTGTATACATACAAATCTTTCTAGATAATTTTTTACGGATCGGTCCATTATTGGTCATAGCTCCCATATAATCCCACTTCCGAAAATCACTTAGAAATACATATTTCATTGTCAAATAAAGCTATCGTGATAAAATTCGACATAAATATATTTCGTATAAATATGAATTATTTTACTAATTTTTTTCCGGATAGGCCCATAATTGGTCATAGCTCCCATATATGGTCCACTTCCGAAAATCACTTAAACACATATATTTCATTGAATTATAAAGCTATCGGGATAAAATTCGACACAAATCTGTTTTGTATACATACAAATCTTTCTAGATAATTTTTTACGGATCGGTCCATTATTGGTTATAGCTCCCATATAACCCCACTTCCGAAAATCACTTAAAAATACATATTTCATTGTCAAATAAAGCTATCGTGATAAAATTCGACATAAATATATTTCGTATAAATATGAATTATTTTACTAATTTTTTTCCGGATAGGCCCATAATTGGTCATAGCTCCCATATATGGTCCACTTCCGAAAATCACTTAAACACATATATTTCATTGAATTCTAAAGCTATTGGGATAAAATTCGACAAAAATACGTTTTGTGTACATTCAAATCATTTCACCAAATTTTTTACGGATCGGTCCATTATTGGTCATAGCTACCATATAAGGCCCACTTCCGAAAATCACTTAAAAGCACATATTTCATTGTCAGATAAAGCTATCGTGATAAAATTCGACACAAATATGTTTTGTCTTTATATGAGTCACTCTACGAAATTTTTTTCCGGATAGGCTCCCATAGAGGGTCCACTTACGAAAACCACTTAAACGCACATATTTCTTTGAATATTAAAGCTATCTGGATAAAGTACGACTTGAATATGTTTTGTGAGCATATAAATCATTCTATCAATTTTTTTCCGGATTGTTCCATATATGGTAATAGCTCCTTCAAAAAAATCACTTAAACGCACATACTTCATTATCAAATAAATATATCTTGATAAAATTCGACACAAATATGTTCTGTGTAAGGTCATAGCTTCTATACATATGAAGTCCACTTCCGAAAATCACCTAAACGCACATATTTCATTAATTAATAAATCTATTGTAGTAAAATTCGACTTGAATTTTTTTTGGCTTATAAATCATTATTCGAAATTTTCTCCTTATCGGTTGATAATTGGTCACAACTCCCATATAAGGACCATTTCCGAAAATTACTCAAATGCACATTAACAATCAAAGTTATCGGGATAAAATTCGACATAAATGTGTATTTTGTATATAAAAATCATTCCACGGATTTTTTTTCCGGATCGGTCCATAGGTTGTCTTAGCTCCCGTATAAGATATACTTCTGAAATTCACTTAATACCACTTAATTCGTAATTAAATGATTATATCCGGATAAAATTCAAAATGAGTATGTTCTGTGTAAAGATAAACCATTATATTAAAATGTTTTCAAACTGGCCTATTAAAATACATTTTTCTAGACCTAATTAAAATTAGTTTGACATATGCATATATGTTAGTACCCTTAATAAGGAAACAAAAATTTTGCCAAGTAATCTAAAAATTAGAATTCAATAAAAAGTAGCTTGCTGGTGGAGGGTATTTAAGATTCGGCATAGCCGAATATAGCATTCTAACTTGTTTTAACTAAATTATACTGTACAAAATGTTGTCAATATAATTGAATTAATTTTAAGATATAGTAATTCTTATGGGATCCTTTACAAATTGAATTAAAGAACTTTTTCACCAATTTTCATTGAATTTAGTATTTTTTATCTTAATTATATTTTATTATTTTTTTATCTCTTAATAAACCGGTTCTTTCACAAGTTCTTAAACACTAAAAACTTTCATTAACCCACCTTCTCTTCATTCAGTTAATTTAAATTACTTTAAATTTTCCATTTTTTCTTTTTTTTATTCCGCAAATAATTGGCTTATAATTTAATGTTGCTTTAAGATTTTGAATCAAATATTTATTTACCAACAGCTTCGACTTGTTTTTGGATATCTTGAGCAGATTGATTTGTCAATGGTACCGAGGTTTCCTTGCCCAAAGCTATTAAGAAATGAAAAATAAAAACTCAATAACAAGCTTCTACTTATTGCCAACATGTACTCACCATATCGTGCCCACAAACGGGGTTGTACTCCTGAACATTCTCTAATCAAAATAGGCAATTCGGGATTATCCTTTTTCAAAGTGGGATAGAAGCGTTCCACATATTCTCTATAAAGTGAGAAAAACACAATTTAGTTCCTTTCTTTTTCGCATTATGTAACCTCAAATTGGTTTGTTCCATAGTTTATTTGTAATTTACCTGGCCCCCTTAGAAGCTTCACCGGTTTGACACAAGTGAATGCGGAGTTCCTTTAATTTAGGACTCATTTTTGTGAATCTTGTAATGGCAACACGCATTTCGCTTGATTTTTATGTGGAAAAATTTACCGCACAGGAATACGGAATGCTCTGTCCGCTTTGGATTAAAAACAACAAAATATTTTCTTCTTCTATTTAGCAAAATGTCAAAAACAGCTGTCTTTAGAAATGAGTAGTGATGCATATGTGTTTATATTTATGTTGTCAAAGTTTTGGCGATTTATTTAAAAACAAACGTTATATTAATGACTTAACGACAAACAAGTTTTGATCCTAAATCATGGACGCACAAGAAGAAAACAAACAGGGGATTTTAGGCAAACTTTTTTCAGAGTTGCATAGAATGGTACTTTTTTGTGTATACACGTGGAAAAGTACATAAAAAATGTAAACAAAGCAAAAAATACATAAAAAACGTAAACAAAAAGAAAACAAACCATAACAAACTCATTGATTTATTTGTGAAATAAGGTAATAAAATTGAAAATCTTTTTTGAGCACTAAATCTGAAACATGTTATTGATAGGGAATCGAATAACGAATAGATCACTGTATTAATTATTCTTCGGAGTACTTTCTATTAGATGCTGTGATTTAACAAACTTTGAAGAAATTACAAATTTAACAAAAAAAAAAAATATTCTTTCAGCAATAAAGCAGTCAATAGTGCCCGATGGGGAATCGATAGTTAATTGATTCCCATATTGATTTCATTTATGGGTACTTTTTATTAGTCAGTGTAACTTAAAAAACTTTGACAAAGTCGCAAATTTAACAGAAATGTTTTTATACTAAAAAAACTAAAATATGTGATCGATAAAGAATCAATAGACGAATCGAACCGCGTATTGATTTTCTTTCTGAGTACTTGCTATTAGCCGGTGTCACGTAACAATCTTTGACAAAGTCGCCAATTTTATGAAAAAGTTTTTATACTAAAAAATTTGAAAATATTCTTTGAGCAGCAAAACTAAAATATGTGATCGATAGAGAATCAAGAGACGAATCGATCTCCATATTGATTTCATTTCCGGGTACTTGCTGTAAGACGGTGTAACGCAACAAAGTTTGTAAATTCGCAAATTTAACCCAAAAGTTTTTATACTAAAAAATTTTAAAAGAGATTGAAAAATATTCCCATGATGTAATAAGTATTTAGTGTGCGAAAAATTCTAGCAGAATTTCTTTTCGTAGTCGGCAGAATTGACATCAACTGCACTTCCCATTTAAAATACACATGTTTGATACCCTAGCCCTTTAACGGTATGACATACCAGCAATGTAAAAAGGTGTAGCTCCGTTGACGTCAACGAAGCTGGTTTGAAGTAAAAGCAGCGATTCGAATTAGGCGCGTAAAACACGAAAATATCTGAGGCGAAGCATATACATCGA